ATCAACAGCAATCATTGTTACATACATACAAGAATCTAATAAATACAATGATTCAAGTTTAAGATTTCATTTATATATCCTTAAAATTTATTTTTAACGTATTTTATAAAACAATAAATATATGATATGTAACAGAGCGGTATATGTTCTAGGGAATTTGTTTAATTCCAGCTTCTATTATTAAACAAGGTAAGTATATATGTAGATACGATAATTAAATATATGGAGATCCTACAAATCCGAAGCAGCATATCATACCTCTCTTTCAAAAGCGATATAAAAACATTTCTAGCGTAAAATATACTCGTTGATATATAGTATCTAAAAATATTCTTTGTTTTCTCAAATTAAAAATAGTATGCATAATCTGATTGATCTACACAAGTTGTTATAATTTATTATATTATAGATGAAATTTGCTATTTAATTAGTTCAATTGAAGTCTAATAATACTCTATCCTCAACTATCTTTCTCTTGTACATTTGGTGTCTCCACTACGACACGAGTACAGCCTGAAAACAACAATTATCAATGTTTTTATAACATACGTCTTTAATAAATATATATAAAAGTGTTTTATCGCTAAAAAAAGATCTATAACAAAAACTTTAAGACAATATTTGTTAAAAATCTTTAAATTTCACTTTTATTAATAACATATATAAAAATATTCGTCGTAAATATCTATTATTTTCTCAATAACATTAATTATATATTAAAATTCTAATCGTATAAATATATAAGCTATTTCAGTCAGATTAAAAAATTTTTAAAGGGTAATTTTTTTGACAATTTCGCTTTTTAGCAAAAAATTCTGCTATTAGTAATCAAGCTAGAATACATTTTCTCATCATGATTGAAAAAATTAGAAGAAAACAGCAATACGGCATTTTAACAAATTACAAAGTTAATATTTATTAAGAAAATTTAAAAATTAGAAAATGTAAAGAGGAATTACGTTCCATTATTTTGATGATATTTACATCTTTCTAACTTTTCTAAAACATTAAAATAATACATCTACATTAAAATAATAAAAAAAAATACACAAAAATAAAACGTAGTTCAGTTTCTGAGTTATATTTATTTTAATGCTAATTATCTTATTATTTAATTAATAATCATTGTGCACATATATCTGTATTTATCAATGTTACGCATACAATTTGCACTAAACAAACTTGTTGCTGATGTCGTAAAAGAGGTTAAACAAATTATCAATGTAAATAAACCTATGAACAATGGTATGTATATAAACATCTCATGTCCAATAACAGGAATTTACATCACATAAATTGTTGGTCTTACTGTGGTATCGCTGTAATTATTTAATGCAGCTTTTTCATAGGCACGTTATAAGGCAAATAGTTTAATAAGAATACTATAGATAATTTAAATCTTTTAAGAACAAATACAAGGACTTTTTAACTAAATTCATTTTTTTTTAAATTATCGGTATCAGAATTTCATAACTTTCAATCAGTTAAATAAATATATAATAATTATTTATATTGAAAAATCATATAAAAATATCTCCATATTCTATTTAAAACTTGCTACATGTAAAAGCTGCATAACTTGTAATTAAACATATTCAATGGATTCGTAACTAAAAGTATTTTTGCTGATATCAGAGATTTGATTTTATATAATACTTCCTAGTTTCAATTATTAAGCATAAACCGTATTTTGACTTTATGTATTGAAAATGTATATATTATACATAAAATAATTCCCAATGTATTTGTTATAGGTATATCATTCTTTGTTCTTAACTGACATTAATGTCAGTTGAAATATCTTTTTGAACGCATCAAAATACTCATATATTATTAAGTATGCTATAAAAGATAAATAAATTATATAGTGCGTTTTTATATTTAATTCTCTGTATATTAAATAAAATATGTTGTATATCTTGTTTGTGTAAAATTGTAAACAAAATTTGTACCTAGTCCGACTAAAATGTGTTGAAAAGTATATGAATATAACTGTAAGTAATCAATATTAACATATACAAATACATATCATTAAAATTACATATAAAATGCAACGATCAAAAATAAACCAAAATTACTAGATTTTTAAAAAAAAGTAAGTCTTGAATAAGCTTCTCATATATTGTATTTCTTTAGAAAAAGAGATTTTTTGAGATTTGCTAGATTTAAATATTAAATTATTATAATGCTGTATATTCAAAACTATTTTACGTTCCAATTGAAAATTATATTCTTATTATGCTTATGCTTATTAAATACATTATGCAAACAAATCAATGTCTTATGTATTTATAAGACATATGTACAGCAAAAATAATTAAATATATATAATGTATTACTTTATTCGGTGTAACATTAATGAGGTATCTTTTTCGACAATGTTTAAATCAAATTGAAATAACTATGAGAGTTATTTCAACTATATTCTGTAAAATGAATACTCGATTATGCATATACTGTTAAAAATGCGATAAAGCTATTGTATATACTTTGTTATGTTACTCAATCGATGTACATTAACCTTAACTCATACAAAATTTATATTTTTCAAAACAATGCACACAGATGCGATATAATGATATTTATAAACAGATCTGAATAAAAAAAAAACGTAATCATATTTTCATTAATTTAAAAATAGTTTATATATAAAAAAAATAATTTTCTTTTTAATTAACACTATAATTATTCACTTCTCTTATTTATATGCAAAAAATTGTACACATGTCGTATTCTGCATACATAGAAAACCTGACATTACACATGTATCAAACTAGATACACAAAACTTAAAGATATTTAATGTCAGTTAAGATTCTCATTCTTTTGAATTCAATTTAAAAATATTTTTACGGAATAAAAAATAAACAATTTTGAAAACAAAATTTATGTTTGTAATGTCAAGCTGTTAATCATTTGATTAAAAGATTTACTTTTTTCTGGGATAATCTTATAAATCTGTATTTAAGAGAAATGTGTATATGTATGTATATGCAATACCTGAAATGCGGTAATATTATCGCATATAACACTTAACTTATCTTAATGTGAGATATATTTTATATGCAAATACTTAATATTAAGTATAGCATATGTAAAAGTAATGCAGTACCTATCATGAACATAAGAGAATTAGAAAAATTGAATGAAAAATTGTTATCTTGTAATATCTAAAAATTGTTAAAAGAGATGTCATTGCAAAAATATTAATTATCTGATCAATTCTAAGTACATTTAAAACAAATATATCACTTACAGTCTTATCATATATAGAGAAAATCAAAAGAATGCTTACAGCTAATAAGAATTAAACTTTAAAATAAATTAAAAATTTTAAGTTATGATAAAATTTGTAATTATTTATATTTTTCAATATACTTTTATAACCAATCTTATAAATTTCATAAGTCATATATATAGTTGTCAACTTGTCTATTAAAAATCATATGTATTAATAATACATTAGAGAATATGCTATATTAATATAATTATTATAATTACTATAATTAATATAATTAATTATATATATAATTAATTACATTAATATAATTAATATAATATAAAATAATATAACATATAATGTTTTTAATTATAACTTATTCCGTATGAATTCTAATATTTAAAAATAATAAAATATTTAATATTTTTTATATAAACTGATATACAAACTGAAATAAAATATAAGTTATAAAAATCATATTTAAAATTTTAAATGTTCGAAATAGTTAATAAATATTTAAATATATTTAAATACCGAAATTTATAGAAATAATATAAAATGTTCATGTATTTTTTAAGCTATATATGAAATTTTGGTAACGTGCTATACATTATTATTAAATGTCACAATAATTTTAATTATTATCCTAATATTTATTTTTAGCATGTAATCATTCTTAATTGATTTTCTCTTGATTTTATTTCAAATATTATGAATTATATTATATTTGTCTCTTAGCATATTATGCAGTAGTGAAATAATTAATCCGTACCAAAGTATTTTTGTCCGAAATGATTTGGTGCAACAGTATGGATCTCTGATGTTAGAATCTTCATCTATAAAAACATAGAAATTTAAATAAAAAATTGGATATTATACGCATTATATGTGATCAGATAAATATATTTTTTCAAATATTAATGTGATGTAAATATAAATGGAAATCACCTTAGGAAAGGCAGTGACTAGAGATTTGGCTGCAATCGGTGTACAAAATAAATTTGATAAGATGATATTTTCTTCGAGTACATTATGTTCTTTTAGTACAGCTATGGCTTTTATGACAGTATTTCCTGTACCTATATATGCAGTAAATATAAAAAACATTATACTTATTTTTCAATTTAATTGTCAAATGCATTTTCAATTATTATAACTTCTGCACATAGAACGCGGCAAGCGTTGTGGAAGTTGGTGGCAGTATCCAATCATTTTTTCGCTCTAAAAAATAATATGAAAGTTGTAGATTGATTGGCTATCACGCAAACTTCCACTATATGGCAAGTGTTATTGTATCCTATATGCAGAAGCTATTAAAATATTCTTTACAACTTACTCATGATTGGATACATCAATAAGACTTTTCTCTCAGATATATCATCTGGGAATTTAGCATAAACTACTCTAGCTTCATGAGTATCTGCATCACTCTCTACCAATATCTTACCAATTCTGATACTACGACAACAATCTCTTAGACCCTATAAAAATATTATTTCATTAACTAATTTGGATAAAGATACTATAATGGGGATTAATTGAAATTATACCTGTTCCATAGCTTCTCCACTTCTCACTATAGATACACCACAATTTCCCTTCTGATACTTTAACCCTTTGTATTTGGCACCAGTTGGAGTTGTCACCACACATTTTGTAAAAGGTAATTGGTTCAAACTCTCTTCAATAACTAGTCTGATCTAAAATATTTTTGAAAAAAATCATGATAGCTTTATCTATTTTATATAATATAAAGACATATGAATTTCTCAGAAAGCAATCATTCAACAAATACAATATGCTTTCTTTTAACATCTCTTATTAAAAATCTTTCTGTCTTCTAATGTCATCTGATAATCATCTATCAAATATCATTTGAAATATTTATTATTTAAGTTCTTTTTTTGCAAATTTCATAAAAAATTGTTAACATAATGTATTATATGTTAAAATAATTTTACAACAAGACTTAATATTTACTTTTAACAAACAATGTTACAAAATCTCAAGTGTGTCTTACCAAACGATCAGCATAAAACTTGAAATCACTCCTTGTAGTATTCCTATAAAAAAAGACCTATCAGTAAGCTGCCCGTTATTTTTAATAATCAATCTATAAAAAAATTTAACATTTTATCGTAATTATAAACAAATGCAAACATATATCAATCAAATTTAATAAATATCTACAATTCTTTGGACTATCACAAAAGATTTATACTAGATATAAATTGAAGAACTAGAGACAAAATTAAAATATATTTATTTACGGCTACGACCTAATAATGGCAAGCATTTTTTTCGAAACACAGTACTTACTTATCTCGCAAAATGGTTTGCAACTCTTTCACCTGGTTGTTGCAGGGTAGAATCTTTAGGTTAGTCCCATACTCATGATCGTCGATCTCGTGATTATCGTTCAACAATTTCGTCGTGGTATCCGTACTTCCCATAACGGACGCGTCGCACCACGTGTCATCAATGGTACCGGCGGAACGATTGTGAATAGCAATGGATGAATTATGGTTTTCTCGGATTACTCCATTACACTCCATTACTTCATCGCCGCACACAAATCGTCCGCGTGCCTGCATGCGACTACAAGCGGTCTGAAATGAGCGGTGGACAACCCGAGGGAACATGGGATTTAAGCCTTGTATCAGGGAGTCGCCTGAGAGCGGACATGCCCGCGATTTAGCTGTAACTTTATTTTGAAGCGCCTCTATGTCCATAAAAACATGGACATCGAACTACGTAGCTAAATGTCCATGATCCTGTAGATAACGTCCACGATTTTGTAAGACAAGGATGGACAGAGATTGATCGTCCCTCTTTAGCTAGCTAACTGTCACTTCTGCATACAGTACGGAACAAAACCGTTCACAAAATCATGGACATAGCACGAATAAGAACCATGCAATCGTAGACACTACAGAATCGTGGACATTGGTTACGTAGTTCAATGTCCACGTTTCAGGCTCTCAGGCTTCTCTCTGCTTGTATCCACGATGCCACAAATCGAGATCTCGAAAACGGGAGAAAAACTGATCGTATTGGTGAATTGATTGAAATAGCCACTGCGATTGGTCAATTTTTCCTCCATTCGAGATAAATCGATTTCTAACATCATGAACACAAGGCTTTTTCAAACAGCTTTCGTTTTAGAAAACACAATCGACATATTTGAGTGTGTTCTAAAATTCATTGTCAATTATAAAAATCTATAGTTTACGTAACGTATATTATATATTATCAACGCTAGCAGTAAATTTTGTAATATTTTTTGATGCATCGCTTTCCATTAAAAATTTTATTCAAACTTAATCGATACTCTTCGACTCTTCTCGAAAGAAGAGCATATACAACATTTTCGACTGCAATAAATTTTGACCGCTCTCAAAGCAACTAATAATATTATATTTATTTATTAGGATTATGAATTGATTATAAAAAAATTTAATACTGATTATAATAAAAATTTAATAAAAAATTTAATAAAATTTAATTAATAAGAAGATAGTGATAAACTGTTGTTCAGCGCTTTTAATATTCAAAATAAATAATTTCTAGTATCAAATTGGATTTTTGTAAAGGCAAATGATTTAAATGATTAAATGCTTTTCAAAAAATATAATAAAGATAATTATACAGTTATGTTATTTTAATTATTAATAACTTAATATTGCATAATTCACGACGCATCAATTCAATCGGTTTCGAGCCAATTTAAATCAAGAGAAAACGTTACTAGGATATAAATTTGAATTTTTCGCTTCAATGAATTCGAATCCATTTTTCGTGAGTCTAAAAATATACAAAAATGTGGCGTGCAATATTTTCGTATCGTGTTACCACAGTACAATTTTCTATCTGAATGACGTAATAAATTTATGAGGTAATAAATTGATAAATTTATGAGTATTGAATGAAATGAGTGAAATCAGTGTCTATTTTTACTAATGTAGATTTTAATTTTGGTTTAATTTACTCTTCATTTTTTTTTATTTTAAGAAGTGAAAAAAAACATAAAAACATAATGAGAAGGGAAATCACCGTAAGGGAATGAGATTCTTGATGTTGAGAGCAATCTGAACGAATGAGCATGTCATTTTATAAAAAGTTTCTTTTTTTATTTCATACTGATAATTCGTGTTGTATGTATAAAACTACTGTCTAGTCGTATTTGCGTGAACAGCTGTTCTCTTCTAAGTCGGGAACGAAATATTCTCAGCAATAACATCGAGCACTCCTTGTCTTTTTTCCCTTTCTTTCGCGGCTCAACTAGATCGATAAAATCATCTAAAGTCATCAGTGCCGAACGTACTTCGCGCAATTGAGATCATCTCTCTCTCTCTCTTCCTCGTCTGGCTCGGTCGTAAGTTTGTTTTTTTACAATATTGAAGGTAAAAATAGGCAATTTTCGGAAACGCTGAGCTAAGTAATGGTGGGTGGATAAAACTCTGTCTTGATATTTTTTTGTTTTCTCTAAAATTTATCTCTTGCTATATTTAATAATGTATTTATATATTAAGAAATACTATATGTGTTGAGTATCCGTAATATTATTCCTAGGATACAGTTTGTGTAATATTACACTGCTGTGTTTGGCCCTTACATCCGGTATTACCTTCGTTATACTTACAAAGTTCTTTCTTACACACAACTATATATATATT